TTTTTTTTTTTTTTTTTTTTTTTTTTTCTTTTTATTCCCAGAGACTGTTTTTCTGCTGTACTATTCTGCATTTCCTTACCCAATGCAAGTTTCAGCTAAGAAGACCAGGGGATTAGTCTGAGCACTGAAATAATGTTAGACTTTCATGTTTTACACTTAGGTGCCAGGTCTGGAGTCATAAATTTTCCAGAGTTGATGTTAAAATCAGCACTGATTCATTTCCCTTCAAAACACCATTGTCACTTCTTCATGCCTCAATCCATCATGCCTAAGTCTTTCTTGATCGGGTTGGCATATACGCTACATTTCAGGTGAAACTGAAACATATCCCTAAGCGCACATCTAGGAATGAATTCTATCTAAAAATCTAAGGGTATTGGTTTACATCCTGAAACAAAAGATTTAATGACTCCTATTTGAGCACATTTTTTATTATTGGCCATAAAAGTAAATATCCTCCTTTAAAAGCCAGATACATGATCTCATTTGCCATTGTTCCAGGACTAAATGTAGCAAGTGGATTATTAGTAAAGCATGCAGGTTTCAAATTATAGCCAAAGTAAGTCTCCACACAGGAAGTAAAAAATGCTCAGGCTTCTATAGTAATTGCTTAGAATAAAGGGACAGAATTCTAAATTACCAGTACACTTGTAAATGGAGAAAACATAAAAGAACTGGCCAACATTTTCAAGAAAGTGATTGGTGCATAGCATGATCACACAATAAACTCAGTCCTGCTGCTATTCCATAATAAAACACAGGGCCCAGACAATTTATTCTTGTAACCTGCATGCCTAGCAGTGGTTCCTCCAGTATTTTCCCGCGGTTAATTTCTCACATTCCACTGAACCAAAGATTACGAATTATCTTAAAAAGGAGCAATTCTTTAATCTACACTTACACTAAAGACAGACAATTTATCGAGCTGTGTAATCATTTCCACTATCAAATGTGTTGTGTGTGAAGTACAATCTCTCACTATTTTGTGCAGCCCTTCAAAAACAAATACCTTGATCCTCCCATGACTGGAGCAGGTAGCTGACTACTCTTTATATGAAGAGAAGCAATACACTCATTTTCCTCAATCATCAACCACATGTCATAAATTCATACTCAAATCATAAGATAAGTGCTTAAACTGAGGACTGTTTAACATTTCTCTATGAAAAGCATTTTCTAATGCGTCCCAAGCAATCAGCATCAGAGAACGGTAAGAGGGCGTGAGAGGAGCGCTGCGGGGAGGCTTGGTGCCAACGGGCAAGCGCCTGACACAATGCTCAGAGATCTTTTCCTTCTCAAGTGGACGCGCAGGACCCACATACGATGGATGCGATGATGCTCAGGGGTCAAAGAGGGTTGCCAGATTGTTCTGGAAGGCAACAGCAGTTACTCACCTGGCTGGACATCCCACAAGCAAAAGGCATCAGAACTGAAGGGACAACAGCGGTACTCACTGAGCAGGATGATGATACACAGTAGGATGGCGACGATGGCACCCGTGCCGAGCCCTGCACCCACGATCCTATCCACATCCGTACAGTCCCCGTTGGAGTCGCACTGGCAAACCTTCACTCGGAGGACGGAAAGATTGGACTTGGGAGGGTTACCCGAATCCGTGATGATGATGGGAACTTCATAGATCCCAGCTTCAAGAAATTTTATCTTTAAATTAAGCTGAGCGAAATCACCTTTACGAAACAGGGACGAAATGCAATTTGACAGTTAATGCCTAATGTGATAAGAAAACATATAGCATTTTCCCAGATTTATTCACCACCCCATTGCATACATAATGTGAATCATAACTATGCTTTTTTTGTGAAGTTTTGTTTTTTGCTTTAAAGTCTTTTACTATCTTATACATTAAGTAGTTTTTAAAATATATTTAAAGAGAAGATTATGAAGCACGTAAAAATGAACTTTTCATATCAGCCTTCAAAGCCTCTCAAATGCACACATATTCCAATAATTAACCTGGTCTTACCATTAAGCCGAGTGATGGTCCAATTTCTCTTAATTGCGACTGGAGATAAAGGAAGATCAAAAGCAAATGGTCCAGCATTTGGATCGATGTCATAATCAAGTGCTGTGATGTTAATTGAATTGGGGTCTGGTGTTTCACAAGTCTCTGCCTCTTGAGGTAACACTTGAGGGGCATTGTCATTAATATCAAGTAAATAGATTTGCAGTGTTCCAGTTCCACTCATAGGAGGAATTCCTAAAAAGGGAGAGAAATCACAACTGATGCTGAGCAATTCTCTCTGATGAGCCTCAATTATGGTGAAATACTCAAAGCTTCTAGCCTTTTGCGTGGTGTCCTGGAGAAACCATTCTGCCAGTTATCTGAACACACTGTTTCTGGAACAAGCCCGCTTCCTGCTTCCCTGCTAGGATGACTGTGATCCGCTGTAGTGCAGGAGCTGAGCATGGGGACACTAGGGCGCCATGGGAGCCCAAGCCTTCCTTGCCCTCACTTTCAGGGCTCAGGCACAGCACACTCTTCCAAGCACTGTGGGGAATGGTGCAGAAACAGGACACAGGCTCGGGATCTTATGCATCGCAACCTTTTGATGGAGAACTAAGATGTGCACTTGAAAGAACAGAGGAGTGCTTTGAAACCTCCAACACAGTATGACCTATTGCAACCTTCTGCAGACAAGTAACAGAACCACAGGCCTTGTCTCAGGAAGGAACACCTTGGAGAAGAGAAATGGGATTTACTGATCAGCCGTGTGCCTGCTGGAGAAAGGGGTAGGCTGCTCTCTGTACTGCATTTCATTGTAATCTTATAAAGAAAGTTGAAACAGTCGAGTAAGCTCAGTCTCATTCCACTGTAAAATGTTGATTCTATCACCTTGTGCCACAATGTAGACTGTTGACTTGGGTTCTGCTATGTTATTCATATTCATACCTGTACATTATAAATGTAAATAAAACTGCGTATTGAAGCCCAGAGATGTAAGTGACCCATCCACGGTCACGTACATAGGAAGGTGCACACATGCACAGGCAAAAATCTCTGCCTCCCTCGAAAGGCATATGATGGCTCTAAGAGCAAAGAATGAAAGGCAGAACATAAAGTGTCTCTTGTAATCTTCTAATATTACTACATCTACCATGACTCTTGATGATTTGAGGAACTGTTACATTTATTATAACATTTAAGATAAAATTGCTCTTATAACAACTTTATTGAACAGGCAAGAGAAAACAATTTATCAATGATCACACTAAGGCGCAGAGAGTACAAGAGCTTGCAGAAGCTGGGCATGGTGGCGAATGCCTGTAATCCAAGCACTCGGAGGGCTGAGGAAGAAGGATTGCAAGTTCAAGACCAGCCTGAGCTACTAGCAACTTAGCGAAACCCTGTTCCAAAATAAGAAATAAGAAAGGGTTGGGGTCGTAGTTTAGTGTGAAACACATGGAATAAGTCCCATTATCCCACTTCCCCAGAGGAACCTGTACAGTTCTTAAAGAGCCGAAACTGGGGTTACAAAGAGAGCCTTGTGATTTAAACTGAGGTACACCGCATCTGTGAAACATCCCAGCTCCACAGACTCAAGAGCTCACTTCTCTCTCCTATCAAACACCCTTTTCATTTAGAAAACAATCCACGATGGCGAATGAAAAATCCAGCTATAACTCACGGCCAACATGTATACATGCAGTTTTATAACTCTTTAAATCTCAGCATAATGGCTCAAGATAGATCACTTTCAGGTGCACCCCAGAGGAAAGCATCTGCGTACATCCAGCAAGGGAGCACGAAGCAGACATGAGCGGGACGCTTTGACGTGCAGTGGTACAAACTCTTCTGACAAAGGTCCAACTCTGAACATGAGGACAGTAGTGCCCGGATTAGAAAAGGTAAGAAATGCTGCTTTGGGCTCGGTTGCCACATAGCTTTACTTCACATAGCAACCTCACTGAATCTTATGCAGGATTTAGGGAGATTCGTTGAAATTGTTCTTATCAAAAGTACTAAGAAGGCAATGTTTTTTGAATGAATTTGAAGCCTGTTTTGATAGAAACTGCACATGCATGGTCTCACAATAAAGGCATATAAAAATATGGCCATGATTCAGTTTTGAAGCTATTTACACATAATAGAAATATTTATGTGAGTGGTTAGGTCGGGCCAGGTTCTTTTGTAAAAGCTTTATGTGTAGAAGCACTGACATCTTTCTCAAAACACTACAAGTTAGCTGCGGATACTACTGCCCTCCGTTCACAGCAACAACACCAACAACAGCGATTTAAAAACCCCAGAGTGAATCTTATCATTAGAAAGTAGAGAGCTGAGGCATGGGCCCAGGAAGTCACGTAGAATGTTAGAGCTCACAGTATTAAACACAAGTCATACTGAGAGCTAGTAAAGCTGAGTAAGTCTCTTATTAACTTTGCATAGGTATCTTTTATTTTAGATACCTTTAAAAATTTTTATCTATTCATCTAAATCACTTTGAACTCGGCAGAGATCCAGACAGAAAAAATAAAAGATGTTAAAGAATATGTTCCCAAACCAACACCCCGATGCTCCCAAACTCAAGTATCTCAATTTACGTACAAAACTGATTTCCTAGCCCATGTCAGACAGCAGTAGATAATGACAGGATAACTACGGAAGACACACATACTGATAGCAACAAGTGAGCTAATTCAAAGAAAAATATAAAATGACTAAGTCAAAGAACACACAGTCTGGCAACACTGAGGATCAGCTAGACCTGCTGTAAATCAGGAATTAACTTGTGGCAGGTCAGAAAAACAACAAAAACTCACCATCCAAATGCCAGGCTATCAGGGAAGGTGCACGGACATGGAGAAAATTCACTGTGGCCAGCAAGGGAGTAAATCACGGAAAGGCCATAGGAAATGAGGAATGTAACAGGGGGCCTTGAGAATAACTGAAGAGGGGTGGAGATGGGGGAGCGAGCGGAAAAAAAGAAAGGAAAGAAAGGAAGGCAGGTGGACCGGGCCTTAGACAACAGAGGTCAGTGTTCTAGACAGTTCGGCAGTGTTGAAAACTTCAGTTCCTGTGCATGTAAGAGAGGCTCTGCTCACAGTAACCATATACACTATAACAGGATGGACACATGGATTTACATACCATAGTCAGAAGCAAGGAAAGTAGCATTATACACATTGTTTTTCACGTTTGGTGATTCTCTGTCCAAAACAGCAATTGTAGTGATTTGCCCATTCACAGAATCTATTTCTAGCCAATTGGCAGGATCAAATAATTTTGAATATCTACAAAATGAAAGGAAGGTTAAGTTTAATTTTTTTAATATGAAACTAAAAAAAGTAAAGCATATTATACAGGTAAAAATACAGTCCGCTGGTCACTAGTGTGCTTTGTTGTGGAAGGTGGCTGGAAATACAGCTTTAACATGGAAAAGTATTTCTGCGGAAGTGATTTTGGGAGGCACGTAATGTTTGTTGGGCCAGGCATACAGGAAGCACCCTGTGTTGTCTGAGGGGCAGGCCAAGGAGGGCAGCAGTGGATTGGAGGTTTCACTTTAGATTCTTGTCTACTTCAACAGAGGGCAAAGGTGCCGATAAAAGAGCTCAAACGTATCTTCTAAATAAGCAGGAATCCTAATGTATAAGACTTAAGAGGAATTGTAATAGGAGCTGAACTTTAAATTACAGACCACAGTGACCCTTGACTTCCGAACTCAAATCTTTCCTGAGGGGTGGCTGTAACTCAAGTTGGTCAACTGCCTTCAAAGTCTCCTTCCAGTATATTTTAAGTCACACTTTATTCCAGGCAGATCTCAGCGTCCTTAGAGAGACACTGGCCCAGGATTTCCCACGCCCACACAGGAAAGGTTGCTGGAATGTTTCTTCCAGGACTCTTTAAGGGTTAAATATGTATCTGAGACCATCTGGAAGCACAAGAGGCCAGCATTTGGGCTGAACTCAAAACATGTTCATAAATTAAAGCTAAAATCCCGGTTGTAACCCAAGTTGTTCATATGTCAGGCCAGTCGTTTAACTAGAGGGTCCACTGCACTTCTGAAATATTTTACTCTCTTCTCATAGAAGAAATGAGGCCTCACTGGAGAGATCCCCACAATCCCATCCCTACTAGGTTCTCTGACATCCTTGCCAGGAAGCCCCACAGGCTTGGGTCTGTATCAGCAGATCTATTGGCTTAAACTCCATTTTTTATTAGGGGTGGAACTTAACTGCACAAACTGGAGAAAATACGCTACGTTTTAGAGGTCAAAGCTGTAAGGTTTCAACTAATTAGCTATTTAACTGTCTTAATTTCAATGTATGGTAAAATGGAGAATAAGTGCAGTTATCTGTTAGCAGCATTTCTGAAAGAAGTTAAATAAATTATGAGCTAATTGTAAAAATGATCATCATGAGCTACGGATAATAGCTGTTTGGGGTACGCTCTGCCAGTCATCAGGAAGGATAAATTAGGTTTTGCTGAGGTTGATGTCTTTATAGATACACTTTATAAGTTCACTGTACAGGTAGGAGATGAAAATAATTAGCTCTTAGATCTTCGTTCTGGCATGAGTTTTCTTTCTGATGTGTGGAGGAGAGATAAATATAAATATCGTAAGCCTCTGAAAATTCCTTATTTAACCACGGTAGAAATTTTTGAAGTGTCTGATACAAAAGCATAGCCTAAAGAGTCATTTTTAGAAAGGCAAGGGGACAGAAACAAAGGTAGAGAATCTGCTTTCTTCAAATAATATTTAAGTAGGTGCATCTTGACAGATTTTGCCTAATATACTCATTAATTTCCTGAAAGGAAAATTCAAAGGATTTAAAATTATCTTGGAAAATGTTCACATCTTTGTAAGACTTTTCTCTGACTACTGAGAAATGAAGATACTTTTTTTTCCTTAAAAGAAATATTTTCTTTTCTTGTCTCAAGTAGTAGACTATTTTCCTGCACGATCCAAAAGATATTTGAATAAAACTAAGAAATACTACATGAACTTGTAATCAGAGTTTGGTTTCTAAAGAAATTTCTTCAAATAGTAAATTAAATAAATTTTTTTGTACAGCACAGAACCGATTCTAAATAACAAAAATACCATAAATGGCATTTCCTACCTAATATTTTGCTGCATATATCGATCTGGGTCCTGAGCAGTGAATGTTGTCAACATGGTACCTGCATGAAGGCCTTCTTCTTGGCGAATGATTTTAGGATTGGGGACAAAATAAGGGTTTTCATTCACATCAATAATTGTAACAGACACAGTTGCTGTTGACTGTGGTGGATGCTGAATTCCCTTGGCTAATGGCACTTGATTTTCTGCAGCAACAGTGAGGACAAACATCCTATTTGTTTCAAAGTCGATGGGCTGAGGAGGAAAAAAAAAAAGAAAAAATGAGAATATTCAAATTCTGCAGTTTATCAACTCCATTTCTAAAATATTACTGTTTTTCTTCAACACATCATAGGATTCTTCTCAAATTTCTGGAAAACATACATTGGCAAGGTCAATGATTAAAATACTTATCCCATTTTAAACTATTTATAAATCTTGTGTATTTTAAAGACTCACGTTCACTAAATAATGCATACGAGTGTGACACGGATTCATTTATTTAGACATATGTACAAATTTGACTGGTTTTTAAAAATAGCATTGTTGACCCCAAATGCTAAATAACATGAGGTCAGGTAAAGACATGAGGTCTACAGTCTGAAACATTGATACAAAGACCACTCCTGATCCAGGAAAGCTTTTACCAGTCTGTGATGAAAGGAAAATAAAAGATAAAAACTACAAAATATTATTTTTATAGAGTAAGCATTTAATGTAAAAGTATCTTTCCTAATTGGAAGTATACAGTTTAAAGTATAAGCATACAAATACATATTGCTTTTTAAAATGACAGTGTTGGAGGAAGGCTTTAGGTGAAAAGGTTTTTTTTTTTCCTTCCCTCTTAGCAAACAAACTCTGGCTGTTTTACAAAATAATTTGGACTGTGTTACTGTTCGTAAAATTTTCAAATCTCAGAATTACACTCTAGACTAACCCAATTCATGGGAATACTGATTTCCAAAGTTCCACTGAATTCTGTCACTAGAATGTTACAGGAGTCAAGTAACCAGATTGGACGCTCTTAATTTCCCTTGATTACCTTCTAGAGGAGGTGGAAAAAAGTATACTGCATGGTAATAACAAGGAAAGAGAAGGGCATAGAGCTCTGTCTCGCCAACACTGGCAAATGCAAAATTATCAAGAGCTATAGCTCAGGAGAAAGCCACATTATTAGTACAAAGGACAGCACTTTGCGAACATAGGCTACCTCCTCAAATCCACAAGTACAGAGCTTTCTTCTCTCACTCTCTACTCCCCAAATCAACTTTCTTTTCTCAAGTATTTTAAACAAGACAGGAAGCAAGTCTTGCAGAAAGTAACACTAATACTTAAGTGATTTCATGAGCCACATCAAATGCCTCTGACGTAGTACTTATTTGTGCTGGGGTACCTACAAAGTTGTGAGGCCTTTAAGGAGTACTGAACTCACTTTTCCTCACAAAAGTGCTGTGTATTTGTCCCCTTTGTCTGTATTAGAAAATGGAGGTTAAAAGAGGTGAAACAGTTGGATCTGGTCACTTTATGCTGTGGGTCTAAAATGTCCCCCAAAGTCTCATATGATCAGAGGTAAAGGCTTTTCGAAGGTGACTGGATGAGAGCGGTGCTATGATCCACTCACTCATGAGCTCAGAGTGGAATGTACTCGTGGGAAGGGCGTCACTGGCGTGGGGGCATGACCGAGAAGAGTGTGTTCCTGTCCCTGGTCCCTCCCTTTTCTCTCTGACTTCTGGTTGCCGTGGGTCAAGCAGCTTTCCTCTGCCATGCCCTTCCACCAGGCCATTTCTGCCCAGAACCAGTGAACTGTGGACTGAACTTGTTAGGCAAACAGTGGTGACCCAGTAAAAGAACACAGCCAGCCTGAAATGGGTGGGGGTTCCTGGTGTACTGTAAATCCAAAGGAGAGTCTAGTCAAGTTGGGTCTTTTATGGATAGGGCTAAGGGGGTTAGTGGGGTAGGCTTAGTTGGGGTGAGGCAAAGGTGGCTGTGAGATTGGGGGAGTGAGAAGAGCTGAGAACACGTTCACAGCAATGGCTGTTGTGCTATGGGTGTGCTGGGATGTGTGCATCATATTCTAGCAGACTAGGTGGGGTGGCTACAGGATGTGGAGACAGACGGTGATTGTTCTGAGAGTTTAGGCAGTTGCTCTGGGAACCTGGGTGGCTGGGGACAAATGGGGGGGGGTCACACCCATCAAAATCCTTTTAAACTATGAGCCAAAATACACTTTCCATCCTTAAAGTTGTGGGCATTGGGTATTCTGTCCCAGCAAGCACCAGATAGTCACACAAGTGTCAAGGGCAGACTTAGCATTCAAACACAGACAGCTGGGGTCTGGGGCTACTGTTCTCAGTCACTATTCTGTATTTGTTCAGGAAATTTCCAACCCACTCTAGTCGTGCATGTACAGCATGTATTTCCTGACAACTGGCAGTTTCGTGCACCTTCTTCTGTAAGGCCAACTCTTGGGTTCACTTGCAAATCAAGAGTGTCTTATTGGGATACAGAGTAGTAAATCTCTTCACTGTATGATTAAAAGGAAGGGGTGCTCACTTGAACGGCTTTTATGTTGTAGCTATGTATTCGACTTCAAGAATGTTCTTTTTGCATCCAGCACTCATCGTCATTTTTTTTTTTTTTTTACAATTAAGTCAGAAGAACCAGTTCATAAAGTCTTGAAAATAGCATTTAAAGACAGAAATTTTGGGCCGGGGATTTAGCTCAGCGGTTTGGTGGCCTGCCTTGCAAGCGCAAGGACCCGAGTTCAATCCTCGGTACCAAAAAAAAAAACACAAATCTTAACGTTATGTTGTAGCTATGTATTCGACTTCAAGAATGTTCTTTTTGCATCCAGCACTCATCGTCATTTTTTTTTTTTTTTTACAATTAAGTCAGAAGAACCAGTTCATAAAGTCTTGAAAATAGCATTTAAAGACAGAAATTTTGGGCCGGGGATTTAGCTCAGCGGTTTGGTGGCCTGCCTTGCAAGCGCAAGGACCCGAGTTCAATCCTCGGTACCAAAAAAAAAAAGACACAAATCTTAACGCAAAACCTTAGAAACCTAGGCACTCTTCCTACTCATCCCATTATACTTCAGTAATTTTCTTTTGGCTTTCTCACTAGCTGCCTATGTGCTAATTGCTGTAGACATGAGGGTAGTTGGTGTGGTCTATCGTTCTCAAAAGGTATCAGTAATGATCAAACTTCAGGATAATCACCAAGATACTAACTATACTGACACCGCTGAGGCAAGGCCTGTCTTCATGCTGGCAAATCTGTCTAAGCTGATTTTACACTTAGCATATTCAGGTGATAACGAATGCGTCCAGTGACCCCCAACTATAACATAAATTAAGAACATGTAACCTGCCAAACAGGTTAGAATTCTAAATTTGGAGATGTTTGGGGGAAACACTGCCAAGATTTCATAGCAAAATAATGGAGTGGGGAGGCATATTTCAGTCACTGCCGAGTGGCTGTCAGAGCTCAGTGGCCCGAGGAGCACTTACTTTTACCACGGTGACTAACCCGTCGTTGCTGTTGGGATCTGTCTGAATGGCAAACCGTCCCGTAGGGTCTCCACCGCTGATCCTGTACACGGCGTTCCAGGCCGGTGTGTGGGGCTGATCCTTATCCGTTACGGTTAGATTCACCACTGTGACATTCACCTTATTCTCGGGGACTTCACCGTAGAACTACAAAGAAGACAAATCTCAGTCAGAGGAGGGACGAGGGAGACTGAAGGACAAGTTTTCTTGATAACCACACTGCCCTAGTTTTACTGCCCATTAAATTTTTACTGTCTACACTCAATAGGAGATTGGTAATGCAGGTAATCGCAGCATTTATGTTTGACTTTTAAAATGCTATACCCCCTTTCAGTTGTCTTTTTATTCTTTTCACAAATTATGCTGCAGCTTCATTAGTGGTGAAATTAGCACCCATATGTAAGTGTGTGGGTGATTAATGTGAGGTCAGGAGAAAAGATTTGTCTGTAGAAAATACTTTCATCTGAGATACAGATAAATATATCCTGACAAAGTGGCATAAAGGAATCATGTAGTCTGCGCACTTGCAAATATCTGTAAGGATTTGGTAACAAGAGCACAATTTCTTTTTAGGGTTATTAGTTCTCTGCATACTTCGACGTCTTTAACAATGGACTTGCATGTAATGAGGAAAGTGAACTATTCCGATGCCCGAGTTAAAACCCTGGTGAGGGAAATATGAGTCCGTAACCATTCTACTACTGGGTTGAGCAGGTCCCTACTGCTATTGAACACATTTATCATTCATGACAAAACTTTTCTGTGCTGGGCCACAGGCCTGCAGCTCTGTGAGTGACAGGCTGTCCTTACCGTCATGGCGGTAAACTCCGGAGGATTGTCATTGACATCTGTCACCGTGATGACGGCCGTGGCTGTGTTCGAGAGGCCATAGGTGGGATTGCCTTCCATGTCGGTAGCTTGAATTATTAACGTATACTGTTGCACTTTCTAAGAAGACATAAAGGTAACAACTTAAATGAAACTAATTCCTCAGGAAGACATCACTTTTGTTCTGTGAATGACTCTTTATTACAAGCAGAGAGTATGGCATTATTTATTCTGATTAACATTACTTGAAATTTTGTAAGTGGAGTTTACTTTAACTCACAAAGCACGGGTCTGGTCTTTGTCTGGAGATTTAATTATGTATATTCACCTCTGCACTCCGGAAGCGGCTCACGGCAGACATGAAATTCACAGCTATGCAGAATCCCCAATCCTGTTTGAACCTTTTCCTTTCCTTTACAAGATAGTGAGCACGCATCCAAGTCTTTTGATTCCTATTTACTTTGTCCTATGTTAACTTCTACCCAGGTTAGGATACTAAAGGCAATGAAGAAGCCCAACAGAGTAAAGAAAGCATATGTTGCTCATACAGTATACATGTTTCCTTTTCTATATTCTTATATAGTCTTTCTTTTATAATAAAGTTGACAGATCTGTTCCCCCTAATTCCCATTATTACATATCATGCTACTCAGAACTCCAACCAAAACCTAACTTGTGCAGTTATGTTATACTGTTAGTCTTGGAAGTAGTAGCTATTTAATAACTGTACATTCAACGGGCTGACATTTGGACATAGCACTCGTTACATCCTGTTTTCAGCATAGGCCTGGAGTGGACATAGATGTGGATATGTTTATCTGAAGAGGATTTCTGTCAGACAGACATCCATTACATACTTTCAAGTTACAGACTGTTTTAAAAGGGAGCCAAATTAAACTAAGAGAAAAATCTCCAGATTGTCTGAGAAATCTACAGCACTACCTCACAAAAGCTTATAACAAGAAAATCTAACCAAAACCAGTATCTAAAATTATTTGGAGCACATGAAAATTGGCATAGTTTTTTTTTTAAAAGACGATTTTTACAATGTTAAAAAATTATGAACAATAAGTTGTTACTTCATACAAAACAAAAACAACAACATGTCAGCTGTCACTGCAGAGTATGATTTTCCTCATTCTAAATATAGTTAACAGTGTGAACAGCCATTCCTAAGAAGAGATTTCTAGAGCTTGGATGGAACAGGCACAAATTGCAGCTTTTGATGTAGTTGTCAGGGGCGGGGGGCAAGGAAAAGAAAGGAGGACAGGGAAAAGCCAAACCTCACGCATTACATTTTAAATCTGTCCACCCCAATGTCAATCTCCAGTGGTTATTTATTGTCTTACTAAAAGAGAAAATAGCACTTTTTTTTTAAATTAAAAAACCCACAAAGGACTAGTGCTGGTTGAACCTTTTTAATTTTTCTAAGCCATAACACTTGACCATAATGCTTAGGCAGGCTACAATGTTTCTCAATGGTTTCCTTTTTCAGCCAGGAGTGTCACTTCAGTTTAATGCTCTCATGGTTACTCAGAATTGAGTAGGGCATTCCTTTCCGTTTCCCTGCTGAAAACTATGAAAATAAATACGTTGACTTTAGAAATGCCATTTTGTTAGCTGCTGAGTTTTGAACCTCATGACTATTTTAAAAGATTTGCTTTTGAAGATTTTTTAGAAAATCCTCAAAATGGCTATACTATGTAATGGATATAGATACAGTAATTTTCTGATGTGCATTCTACAAAATATACCAGCATGATACACACAATTTTTCAATTGAGTTGAAATAACTGGGATCAGAAGTTAAGACTTTAAATTTCTCACTGCTTCAAACTTATATGGAAATCTTTAAATTTTAAAAGAACATTGTTATTTCTACAAGACAATATCTACTCAAATAAAAAAAAATCGTGGTAAATAGTACAGTCTCTTCTTTTAAATGCCTGATGGGTAAAGTGCTTTTATTTAGTGAGGAAGACTTGACAACCTGTGTTTCTGGGAATCAAACCATAGAGCTTCTTGCCTTTTTTAATCATTCAGCATCTGGTTGTGAATGACTAACATTTAGATTCCCTCTGAATTTGACTTCCGTCCCTCACAGTCTCATACTGGATCCAGGGATTCTGCTAGAAAATGTTTCCTCATTTCCTGTTTTAGAGGAGATAAAATCTCAACTCATCTGCTTGTTATCACTCCTTCTCTCTGTGACTCACCCACGTTACCAAAGCTATCAGCTCCCATTCATTCAACCCACCCGTGGGGCTTTTGTCTTTCTCATCAGAAGCCTTCCCAGGATCTCACACCCTTGCATTTGGCCAGTCTCCCAGCCCCGACTGGTGGTTGTTGCCCAAGGTGACTGCACCCCTCCAGAGGACATTTTTTGTTGTCACACTCAAGTGTTACTGAAATCTAAAGGGTGGAAGCCAGGAATTTTGCTGAACACCATAGGACTTGTCCTGATTAAGTATTCTCCATTACAAAAGGTCAATGGTTACCTGACTACTCTTTCCCCCATTCTGAACTTGACAAACAGAAGGTAAAAGTCATCTTTGTTATGACCTCTTAAAGCCCTTGAAGCAGAGCTGTTTGGGTCCTCTAGACTCTGCCTTTCTGCAAGAGAAGGAGTTCTCCTCCTCCCTTCCATCTCTGGCACTATGCAAAATCTGGATCTTCTCCTAAAGTGAAAATGACCATGAATGGTAAACATTTTGAACCAGTTTAGGACACTGAGGCAACTTCAATGATGCAACTCAAGACATTCATGAAAGGGGACTTGGAGAGCTGCTTCAGGAAGTGGCAAGAACATTGGGATAAGTGTGTGTAAAAGTGAGGGGTATTCATGGCAGGATGTCTTTTACTGTAATATAATAACCTTTTAAATATTAAACATTCACCTTAGATTTTAAAAGACCATATCATATGTGTCTGTTCCTGCCCAGAGTCTGCCTCTCTGCAGGGCCCTTGCTTGTCCATGTTCGTGTCACTGGTATACAGCCAGACCCTTGTGGCTGGATGACTGAATGAAGGAGAAACCTCCAGCCTTCCATTACTTTACAGAAATCATTTTGGGTTAAGAAAAAGCCATCTTCTTATTTACATGGTTGGCTATAATTTATTTATTAAAACTTATACTGAGAGCATAAACCAGCTATTTCTCAAACCGCAGTGATTCATATGCAATCTTTCCAATTCTGCCATTTCTTTGCATTTCTATACCATGAGTCATTTCCTATTTATTTCCCTCTTTTAAAGCTTACATCAACTTATTAAAAAACTACCGTGAACAGAAAACTAGTATCATTTGCCATAAATAAAACTCTAAAGAATATGACTCTTGGATTCTGGTGGTCTCTATTTGGTCGAATAGTATCTAAGAAGCTCCGAGTCTCTTGTTTCTACAGTTTTCTCTGTGTGCACCAACGAAACCCATTGTATAGTTATACCTGCAGCAAGCATCCTTTTAACACACTGAAGTAGAGTAATATCACTGAGTGAAGAGGTGGAAATGTTCAGTTATTCACTTGGCGTTATTCGCTGAATCTTTGCTAGATGCAAGGAAGAGTGTTATGTAACTGGATAAAATGGTTAACAGAACCAAGCGTGGCCTTGGTTTCATTATGGAATGAAAAAGGGTAGAAATGGACCACAGGATCAAACGTATCACGCGACTGCACTGAAAGTAGGAAGAAGTAACACAAAGATCATTGAATATGCGGCGTCCCAGCGCTTCCTCCAACTGGAGAGGGGAACAAATATGTGGGGTATTTAGGAGGAACCTGAGTCCTTGATGACCAAAGAGATTGGGGTTTCCATGGTAAAGGGAATCAGACCATTACCTCGGTGTTAGTCCCCTGAAATAGGAAATCAATCATATATCTCAGACGCAGGGAGAAGTAACAGATTTGCTTTTGGATGCACAAATGGGGTCAGGTTTTGGACAGGTAAATGATAATGCTAACAAAACTCAGGAGGGAAGAACAGTTTTGTGACTCACAGTTGAAATTATTAATGGTGACCCCCAGCTCTCCCTCATCTGTGAATAGGGAATACACACACACACACACACACACACACACACACAGACACAGATCTATTTTCCCCCACCCCCCAAATGGAACAGTATTCTAAAGGCCTTGCTAAGAAAACATAATTATTTTTTTTTCTTGGTACTGGGGATCGAACTCAGGGCCTTGTGCTTGCGAGGCAGGCAACAGAACCACTGAGTCAAATCCCTGGCCCCATAATGACTTTTATTGAGATGGAGAACCAGCATCTGGCAAAGTGCTAAGCACTATACATTATTTCATTTTTTCGTCATAATAATCCTATTCGGTAAAATTTTATCTACATTTTACAGACAAACAAACTGGGGCTCTGAGAGGCCATCAGTGGCAGAGATGAGACTTAGACCCAGGTACTTCTGAGTCAGGAGTGTATACCATCAACTGCTCAGTTAAGTGCGCTCCAAGACATTCCAAGAAATATGAGCAGGCTGAGAGCTTTAGCATCAGCCTCTAGTCTTAGTTATTTGGGGGACTAAGGCAGAAGGATCACTGGTCCTGATGAGTCACAGACCAGCCTGGCCAACGTAACAAGGCCCCATCTCAAAACAAAAACAAAAGAAAACTAAACAAAATCCAGGCGCACACAGTTGTGCACATCTGCAATCCCAACACTTGGGAGGCCGACGTCGAAGGATTGCGAATTCAAATTCCACCTGGGCATGTTAGTGAGAAATTATCTCAGAATTAAAAAAAAAAATCAAGGCTGGGGATGTAGCTTTTGGAGAATGGTTTCATTCGCCATTATTGAAGGAAAAGAAAAGAGAAGGAAAAGAGATGTGTGAAGCATGTGCACATCTTGAGTGGGGGCAGCAGGCAGAAGGCCAGGCTTCCGGCGGATGAGGAAGGAGTGAGTGGGAGCTGAGCACTGAGGAAGGCTGCCCTTTCGAGAAGTCTGCTGTTGAGCTGAGGGGACACCTAATAACTGAATTCTCCTTCAGGGTTCCCGATGAGCAGCTGCCTCCCTGGATGCTGAGCACAGGAGTCCCGGAGGGCTTTCTGTGCGACACACAGAGAAGGAGGCAGAGTCACTGCGGATCTGGAGCGGGGCCAAGGGACTGCTTTCATGAAGTGAAGATTAGCATGGGATGCAGCGATGGGTGAGGTGGACTTAGGCCCAGAGAGAGGACGAGAAGAACGCAAACTCCATTATTGCACCAGAAATCGCATGTAGCTGAACAAACGTCTGGGCATCAGTTGTTTGAAGGTGGGAAGCAAGACATTATGGGGTGGGTGGTGAAAGAACAGTGCGCCAGGCCCTTAGGAGATCTGGGATGCCACATTACAGCCCTGTGACTCAATCCTATGGGGCGGAGGGCCACTGCACCCCTGGGGAGACACCTGCAGAGGAGAGAAGACGGGAAACAACAGGAAGTGGGAAAATGCGGCTTTAAAACAGAACAGAACTGAGGGCACAAAGGATGACTAAGCTTGAAAAGCAGGGATCTGCATTCCATCTTTGATGTGAGAAAAATTATGTTGAGGAGTAAAAGTGATAGGAGAGCTCATTTAGTAGATGCTGCTGACATTCATGAGGGCAATAAGGAAAATGGGCACTAAAATTGATGGGTACTGTGCTGAACCTACCCTCAAACATGTTACATAGACCTTTCAACTACCTCATGAGCTAAGCAGCTTCTTTTTTTGAGACAGGGTCTCACTCTGTAGTTCAGGCTGGCCTTGAACTCATGATGTAGTCTAGGTTGGCCTCGAACACTTTGCGATCCTCCTGCCTCAGCCTCTTGAGTGCTCGGATGACAGGAGTGCACTACCACACCTGGTTTATAAGTACCATTTTTGTCTCTATTTATAAAGGCAGGGGCTGAAGTTATAGGTCCATGAAGATCAGATGGCCCATAAGAAGCACAGGTAAAATGCATACCTGGTATAGAAGCATTGGGCAGTCTGTCCAAAAAAGGATAAGACTGGATAAGGTGGTGGTTGTAGCTTTTGGAGAACCTAAGAAATAGCTATTTTTTAAACTTGCAGATTAAAAAAAAAATAAAAAATTGAATTGCAGTAAGCATTTTAATGAATAGGAGTTCCATCACACAAAGGTGTCATATATCCTGAGAGAACGACAACTGAAATTACTTTCCACAAAAAGTAAAGTGTGAATTCTAATAGAAATAAAAGAATTTCAAGCCTTCACAAGGCCTAAAAAAGTCAAAGTAATTTATCCCCTTCCTTGGACAGAATTACCATAAACCGTCCAAGATAGATATTTTTTCTGTTAAATGACTTTCAGAGAAGGAAGGTTTTCCATAATTTTTTCTAGTAATTCATTGTTGTGTTTAATAATTTCACTGTCAAGAAGCAATTTCTCATCTTGTATGTAACCCATGATTCTATGAGAGTTTCAAACTCATTTCTGCATTGTCACCAAGGGGCAGAGAAGGGTTTCTCCAACCACTGACAGATATACTTAACCACGATTACAGCCACACTTTCACTCTCTACATTAAACACAGTCTCTTTGATTTTTAAACATGGTTGGCCTGCTTTAGGAAAACTGTCTTTAATTTGTCTTGCCTCCTTCTTGCATAAGACAGCGGGCTAAATGTAAAAGGACTATTACTGGATGCAAACAGAAATGAAGCCCATTTCTTTATCTCACAATGACAGTGTGACTGAAAAGAGAAATATTAGGATTGTGAACTGATCTAAATTTACTTGGTATGTGAGCAACCTGGCACTCAAGAAAGAATATTGAAAAATACCCCATAATCTCATAAAAATACGGCATTCACGCTGAGTTTATTGGCATATAAGAATAGTATTTCATACAGTAATGGAAGAGGTGAAAAACATACATGTTCAGAATATCACTGAGCTGAAAGTAGTTTTGCAAAAACTCATTTCAATAATCTCTGATGCAAAACATTCCTAGAAAAAGAATCACTGACAGCTGGAAGTTAATAGGTACAATGTCACAGGCACACATCTAACTCCTAAGTAAATCTCTCAGTTCCATTTTGAAAGAAGTGATGTTGATTGGCTCATATTACTTTATTATAGTGCACTGAGCACTATCTTGTGTGTATAATTAATTGCAATGGTAATGTTTTCTTTGATCCAATTCAAGTGAATGCTACTAGAGCAAATAAAGCATTAAAAAAAAACCCTACAGTAACTTTGACAATCCTTGGCAGTAATATTTATTGTGATGGGTGTAATGTTTCCTACATAATCTGAAGTCCCATTACAGTAAAAGCTGGCTCAGCCAGAAATCTGCAAAGCACAAATCCTATGAGTTGGCATTTTGATAATTCACTCTAATGATTATTATGAATGGCTGAAATAACGACCTTGAGGATCTGTAAGAAAATGGTCTGGACAGAACCTAGAAAGGATATAAGCATTTTACTAAGGCCAGACTGTTCAGGAAATGATGTGAACAGAACTTCAACCAGAACCTAAGCAACCTAAAAATTCAAGATCATGAGAAGGAGCAAGGAATTCCAGGCAGAAGGGAATCTCGTGATCAAAATCATAGAGATATCCAGGAACACACCGGGTGGAAACCTGTGACACTGAGATGACCTGATCCACCTGGAAATTTACCAAAATAGCCACTCTCAACCAGATTGGTACTGCGTGATATTTCAATGTCTTCAAAACTGTATGCCTTTTCAACAAAATATCATGCCAGAAATGGGTTTCTCGACGTTTACTGTTTTAAATGTTTGTCAGTAGAATGTATGTATTTACTAGTGTTCAAATCCATTAAATACAGAGCAAAGGGGTAAGTTCTAATAGAGGAGATAATCTCTCTGCACTAAACAAGGCTATCAACAAGGACTACAAAAAACAAGAATCACATATGTTTCATTTGTACCTTCTTAAAAATACAAGACTGAAAAATTAAATTTATGCAAACATTATTTGACCATGATGCTTAATTTAGCTCCCAATGAAAATCTGACTATAAAAAAAAAACTGAAAAAATGCTGTGGATATTAAAAATTAGATATTAGAGGATGTTGACTTAGTCAATTATCACATCAAATATTATGTAGTCTAGTGATGATGTATCCAGGATACATATATCATGTGATTGATATGAAATTCTGTAAAAAAAAAAAAATCACACAACATTTATTAATGAAAATTAGCATAACGATAACAGTTATGCCGATTACCTGGAGTTAAAGTATATGCAATATGGCTCAACTTTAAGATACAGAATAAATTCAAATACAGCTTTTGATTGCCTTACTTCTCGATCAAGTCCAGCTGCCACTGTGATGATGTCTCCAGTCTCATTATTGATTGTAAACATGTTGGGTGAAGGGGTGCTTGGAGCCTGGGACAGGATTCTGTACCTCAACATTCCATTGAGGGCATTTGGGTCATCAGCATCAATAGCAGTTACGGTCATCACGTAAGTTCCTGGAGACAGTGGACATGGAAAACAATCCATTATCCTGAATTTGGGGATCCCTAAAAGAAGGTGTACTTCCCATTTGATATGTACTGCTGTTGCTTTTTCAACAGCAGTATTTCATATCATTTAGATGATTTAAAAACACTGTTTTAAAGACTATAAAACACAATGTAGATCACTGAAAGGAAGGTTATAAGAGATACATATTTATAATGAGTCAATTTTTCATTAATTTAGAAGACAAATTCACTCTATGATTCCAAAAAGATTCACTGCAGGCTCTAACATATAAAATGCAAATAAGAAATACAGATGCCATTAGAAACATTTCATGGCTGCCGATTCCTTCCCTTGGTTGGTTGTATTTTCATCTGTTAAACAACAACATTTAGAAAAGCATGCTGAGCATGATGCTTTCCAATGCCCGAGTCACTTTCTGAAAGAAAGCTGTGTGCATAGCAAAGCATACTCCATTACTCAGGTCATAAGGAGCCATCTCATGCATCACTGCTTTGGTACACTGAATAGGGATCTGACATTGTGTTTCATTTTTTCCCTTGGAGATTGAAAGAATACTGTAATCAACTTAGGGACTTCAACTTATTGAACATTTTGGAAAGTAAATCTATGAAGCATTAAGAGCAAATAAGTCCAATTTAGCTCAACAAAGTATAATTTAGAAGTCACTAAGAAAAGCGGTTACTATTCAGAATGGTTTATTTTATGGCATTTTCTAAAGAACTGATTGGTCGATTTTGTATCTCTAGCCTACCTGCTTAGGCACTGTAATGGAGAAAATTCTACCTTCTGTGCTGATATGGAATATGTTCACCCCAGGGTCAACCTGATTAAGACACTACATGCATTTATACAGTTTCTCCACAATGAATGCAATTATTATGTATTAGAAACATATACTAATAATAAGCAAACTAAGAAAGAATAATAATTAATGATACCTTGGTTACATTGATCAAATTTGTTTTCAGAGCTTGTCCCTCTAAACAAGAAATGCTTTTTGGTTATGTACCATCTCTACACCTTTACTGTTTTCAAAAACTCTATTTCATATTTTCTTGCTTTCTCTTCCCAGCTAGATTCAAAGCTCCTGCAGGGCAGGAATGTGCTTGTTATTGTTGAATGCCTATGGTTAGATCAGGGCCTGGCAGACAGCACTTGCTTATAAGCTTATGATGAATGAATTACTGGTTAGATTAAAAAGTATATCTCAGAACCAGGAGTCAAAATACTGATGATACAACTTAAAAGATATCACATTAAGAAACCTTACCTAGAAGGATGTTTTCAAACTTACAGAAAAACCACAGGAAATATACTTATGAAATGTCTTTACTTGTAGCAATTACCAATAGTCTTTTATTGATGGGAAACAAATGGAAATCCATGGTTAAATGCATAATAAATATAGCCCGAATGGTTTATTTTTATCAATTTTTGTGAAGCACCTTATTTTAAAGTTTGCAGTAATAGAGGGAAAGGCACCAAATGATTTTTAGAAACAAAACTTCCGCAGGAGGGGAAAAAAGCCCAAGGTTGACCTATTTTTGGAATATCTGTATAAGATATGTTTTAGTCAGGATATGTTTAACACACTTCAGTTATGCTGTATTTTGAAACAAAGAAGAAAGCTGCTTTGAAAATGTGACTCAGAAGGAGCCACAGAGTAGTGAGGCCCCCCCCACCCCCGTGCAGCTCTGTCCTCCCTCCAGGGGTTCCTCTCACCCCTCTTTTCTGAGGATACAGAGAAGCACGCCTGGACCAAGTAAGAGTGTGTAGGGCACAGTGGCTTATACGGAAAACATCACTTGCGGGTAAGAGAGCTGCAGGAAATAATAGAGATGACCAAGGAATTATGTAGCTCACTTTTAAATGTTAAGGCTTTACAAGTTGCAAAATAAATAGCACAGTAAATCTCTTGAAACACCAAATCTTCTCAGAGAGGCTGACCAAACTTTGACCACCACTATCCAGACTACTCCCTTGTCCACTAGCATTTCACTCCAAACAGGCCTCTCCTCTGTAGCTATTTGACTGTGATTAAGATCTGCAGTGTTTTCTGTACAAGAACCTAACCTTGGTCAAATACCAACTCCTATCAGGTGAGGTTCTGGCCAGTGCTGTTCCTAGGCTAGACCATGTTCTGTTACACTGACTGAAAGGAGGGTGCAAATGACATTAGGGCCACCTGGAGAGGAAACAGCAGTAGGTAGAGCGCAGCAGTCACCGCTCTTACCAAGGTCCTATCCTGCTGTGGTTTGTGTGTGTGTATGAATTTTGCGGTTGCATTTTCATACATGCATAAACCACTTTGATCACTATCATCTTGCTATCACACTCTCTCTCCCTCTCTTTTTTTTAACTCCACCGCTGGGTCCCAGGAACACCAAGTAGCTATAAAGCTGTCCAGCTGGGTCTTTGTTGCTGCAATATCTCCTATGACTGGATCTGTACTTTGTGGACAGAAAGCCTCTCATCATCTGGTGCTCACTTTCGAGCTGCCCTGGCTGTGTCAGCAGCACGAGAGGCTCCTGCAGATTTACATAGGATACAATCCATTACTGGGGTATGTTGTTTTTAATGATGGGAAAAATTACCATGTGGGCAGGAAGGGGCATGCTTTTCTGTTTTTGCTCTTCAATCTGTGTTTCTCTAAATTATCTTCCCATTATGAGAAAAGAAAATGACACTAAAAGGCTCACACGATTTCCTCTTTCCTTGCTTATATGATAGCACCAGTTAAGCAAAATATCCCTAAGTCATCTCCCAGGTATAATTTGCAAACTTACCAGGCTTGGATCCCTCAGGAACAGTCCCATTCCAGACCTGGTGCAAGAACTCAGGTCTATTATCATTCATGTCAATAACATTGATGACAATGTCAATTGGGTTCTCCACCTGATTGCCATTAATATCTACTGCATGTGCCCTCAACTGCAAAAGTAATTAGAAAACAAAGGTACTTAGCAGATCTGTCTGCAAGGAGATACCAATATGCAATCACAGCACTACTCAAATAGCAAGAATGCATGAAAAGTAAAAAAACAAAAGCTGTTCCTCCCTAAAATGTCCATCAACTTCATACATTTAGAGTAGACACAGTAGGAACGCACCACCTCTACTACCCTGTATGTGAGGCATTATGTTCAAATCTCAGTGGGGTTTAACTCATTTAATTATCAACATTTGAAGAGGAGGAAACTGGGCTTCAGATATGTTAAGTAACTGGTGCTGATCGCACTGCTCTGTCTGTTAACAGAACCTAGATTGAAAGCCAGTTCTCTCAAGCTCCCCAATCCTTTTGTTAAACATGTATATACGGTAGAGCCAGAATAACTAATAACACGGTGCTACCACAGCGTAGTCCTAAAGCTCAGGGGAACAGGAGGGAATCCGGAAAATTAACTGCACAGGGGATTTTAAGTTGTGAAGCCACTCATAAACATGAGGACTACTTCAGTATACAAGGCAGCTGTGCCGTTCGACCATCCTAGTTCTCAGTTTTACAGGTGGTTTTGGAGAAATTTTATATTATTTTTCTTTTTGAACAAATAAAATCACTCAGCTACTCTTGGCAGAGTATCTTCAAAATCTTTTCATCTAGCACACAGAGATTCATTTCAGCCTTTTCAATGGCTATGTAGCGCTCCATTAAATTGTTTCTTTTTAATTGAAAGGCTTTTATGCTTTTCCTGTTATGTGTGCTGCAGGCCGTGGGTATGTGCATACCTTCCATCAAATTAAAGAAGCATCAGTATCTCCGTTTTCTATGAGCTCAGGATATTCTTTTTTTTTGGTTTTCTTTTTGGTTTGTTTGTTTGATTTTTTGAGACAGGGTCTCACTATGTAGTTGAGACTGCCCTGGAACTCACTACGTAGCCCAGGCTGGTGAGACAGGGTCTCACTATGTAGTTGAGACTGCCCTGGAACTCACTACGTAGCCCAGGCTGGTCTGGAACTCACAGCGATCCTCCTACCTCAGCCTCCCAAGTGCTAGGATTACAGGCGTGCGCCACCACACCAAGTTTACGGGCTCATGAAATAAGGTAAATTTTATTGCTGCATTTCCATACCTATAGAGTCATATGTTTTTTTCCTTGACTTATTTAAACTATCATATTTCAATGCTGTACCTTAAGTCTAAAAATACTGAATCTTAGTAGTAATGCTTAATACTTGTAATTCTGTAATTAATTCTATTCTGCTATGGATATTGTCTTTCAATATGCAAATGGAAAGCATTTGAAGACTGGTAATTTATTCCCAAACTCCCTGAATATATTTCCTAAGTTTTAACCACAGTAGTCCAGACAGTGAGAATTCCCACAGAAAGAGATTGGGTTCTTGTGTGTTGATATTATTTATATTCATAAATTAGAGACAAAACTAATTTGGGACTGTTCTGCTATGTACTATTTTAACCAAGCTTCCCTATTGAATGTAGAATAGGAATGGGGACTCATTTTCATTACAATTATAATACTATACATCTATTAACAATGTTGTGATCTCTCTGTATTTTTCATAAAACAGTTTTGACCTCATTCATATAAATTTGTTCTTATAGCTTTTCTTAGCTACATATCTGAAGGCAAGTATCAACATGTGAAAAGTAATGAGATTTCAGGCTACTCCCTTTGCTTTTTCTGTTTTTTCTTTCAGTATTTGCTTTTCACCAAGAGCATTTATCAATTCTACAAAAACCATTCAAAATATTAAATCAAAAAGCTACAGAGATTTCTGCCGTTAAGACTCACAATGTCAAGGCTATCTGACAGATAAGAGGCAACTGTAAACTGCACACATTTTAGAGGGGTAAGAACACAGAGATGGATCAGCTGGTTGAAATCTTACATGAAACCGGGCTATCAGCTCGCGATCCAGGGGCTTGGTCACTGACAGCTGACCCGAGATGGGGTTGATAATGAAGATGCCGGTTGGAGGCTGGTCAGCTCCTGGCCCAGTGACGCTGTACCGCAGTGAGAGGTTTTTATCTCTATCAGACCTGATCTGAGGATCAGAAAACAATCACCTTCAATGAGCGGAGAAATGAGCTCACGATCAGAGACAGTGCACACCACACTCAAGCCCTTGTTCAGATGCAGCCCTGCTCTGGCTTTTCCCAGGACTTCACAGAAACTCTCCCAGTTCCTCGTCTTCCTCTGGGCCCCTTAGTGATGGGCTTGCAAAAGCACTATCACCTATGGACAGAGAGACCTGGGCAACCTTCATTCACAACTGAAAGAATGCTCGCTGGGAGGAGTGCAAAAAAATCAAAATTTAGAAGTGTCAGTTTTTAGAAACAGTTTCCAGGCTAGACCTGGAACACAGTAACAGGTGTCCAATTTAATTAAAAGTTGTTTGCTTTTTCTGCATCAGTTACAGTATGAAATAATTGTCTATCATAGGGTGAAACAGCCTCAAGTGGAATTCTAATCTAATGGTTAAGCCTGGACATCAACTTTCTTTCCCTGCATTGTCCGAACAGTATTCACTGCAACCAAAGCCGCCCATAGCATTTGAAGGTGTCATCTAAGACCAGGATTTTTTTTTATTAATGACAAAGCATGTGAGGACAGGTGTTAAAACGTATTTTTATATTCAAATGCCATGCCCATTAATAGCTCACTGTTTGCTCTTCCAAATATATCTTCTCCCAGGAAAATCAAGTCAATGGATGAGCAATGTATGGAGGCCAAACTGGCTAAAAAAGAAAAGCAGGAAGACAGGTACAGAGAAGGGGCAGATTGAGCAATGCAGTTTGTATATAATAAACACCTTTATGTATTCGATACATACTTATGACATTAATAAAATCTGGTTGTGTTTTTTAAAGTTAAAATTCCTTATTTTCTCATATTCAGTTTAGGCAGAAACAGAAAGCAGCTTTACACTGGAGGTGATACTCACTGTGAGACTGAATTATAATGCACCCAGCACTTAATACTCATTGTGTGTGCTGGAGCACTAAAATAATGGTCCTCAGAAACCTTTACACTCTAATACCTGGGAACACAATGATTTTGTCTTATTGTCCTTTTGTAATAAAAAAAACAGATTGCTAATTTTACTAAACATGCAAATGTAACTATGGTTTTTAAAATTTCTGCCTCTGACAGCATGCATCTGCAATAACTGGAAAAGAACCTTATTTCTCCGCTGTGAAAGCCTCTGGTGTTACACCACCCCGGGGAGCTTGTTAATGGGATCAGAGGTCATTTTTTTTTCCTTAAAAAACTCTCAGATGCACTTGGTGCTGGCATTTTTAGCAATGATTGCCCTTTATTTATTTTTTTTTCCTTTTGTCCAAAAGCTATCTGTGGAGGGCAGAACTCATCATGGCAACCTCAGCTTTGAGACCAGGCTGCTCCAGGTCTGTGCTGTCAGAGTGGGTACAGAGCAAGCAGAAATGCATGCCAGTGTCAGGTGTCAGGTGTGTGAGTTATGCACTGAGCAAGCATCCGGATCAACAAAGGGTCCTACTTAGACATAAGCCAGGAGAGAATAAAAAAAAGGGAAAAGGCTCCCAACACAGTAGAGAATTCCACTGACCCCTCAAATTTTCCTATTTATGTCCCAGAATTAAAAAGAGCCAGAAACGTTTCTAACACATCCTTGCCCCATGCCATGGACATAATGAACACAGTGTTGCCTTACCCTGACGAGCTCCTGAGGAAAAGGTCCTCTGGAGTTTTCGGGCAAGTTGATCGGAGGGATGACCCAGTCTCTCTTCTGCCTTTGCAGGGAGCCGGTGTGCTTGATGGATTGTCTTGGGAACACTATTTCTTCAATTTCATGAGATTCCTTTGGATTGAAAAAACATGCAAGACATCCCTGAGAACTAGGCAAACATTTTCTGAAAGAATATCAATATTAATCACTATATGAAAGCACAGGAACCAGTTGATTATGAACAAAAAGTAACTCTGGGGGGCCTTTTCTTGTCCTCCTCTTAAAAGGACAGAAAATACCATATAATTTCGGTGTTGCTCTGTTCATTGAAAGATTGAATCCTGATCAATTTGTTATAGAGATCAGTTGTGTAAACTATTTGCCACTTCTATAAACCATCTTAGAGAGTAGTTAATATTTAAGCAAAATTTAATAGTACCTTTTTATATATTTCTCATTAGTTTAAACCACAGTTCAGGTAATGTGCTACTGTACATTAAATTTAGATCTAGATGTGCTAAAATATAATTTGAATTCCAAGAGAAGTTTAATACATACTGCTAAGGAATGTCTCAAATATTTATGACCCTATTAAACCCCACAGAATTAATGCTGTAATTATTCTAAACCTATGTCAACCATGATGGATGTGGTAAATGACCCACTTTGCACACTAGGTATTAATCTTTGCGAGATGTCAACATTTTCTTCTGTTTCTCCCAGTATCCGTAGGCATCTCAGCCATTAGCCTTTGCTGCTTCAGTGCAAATATCCAACCTAGTCTGCCAGAACACAGAGAGCCAACAACAACAAAAGCATCTTTTCACCTCATTAGTTACCAGTTCTCACTTTATATTAGTCAAGTGCCACGACTCCGTTTAACAGTTAAAAGATCAAACAACAGTAATAGATTAAGCCGCATAGTAAAACCTCAACACAAGTATAAGACAGAATGGCATATTTTCCTCTGATATATTCATTCTGATTTGATTGCAGGCATTTATTTCACACTACAATTAAATACCAGAAAGGCATGTGTGTGTGTGTCCCTGTCTTTCACAGAACAACAAATATGCAAAATATAGTTCATAAAATAGTGGTGTGTCTCTTCATATCTTCTGAATTAACTACAAGAACCATAATATTCAGAGAATAACAGCAACAAGACTTTCATACGTTATTGTGCCTTGTTTGAAATCCCTAATGTAATGACTTAAACACAGTAAGTGCTCAATAAACATTTGTCGAATTGAACAATTTTCTTGGAAATGTACCTCATTCATTTTTATCTTAGCTCTCAGCAGCTTCCACCAGAGGGAGTGCATCATTCCTAAAAGTCGTATCAGTGTATAAATAATTCATGCTCACCAGTTTGATTATTAAGAACCAAGATGAAACTCAACACTCATTGTCAGGGTGCTTTTGTAAATCTGTACTCCTCATCTAATAAGTCTGATTCATGGCATCCTGTAAAGAACTGTTTATTTTGTGGTTGTATTCAACAGCTTAAAAAGCTCTGAGACATTTAAAACAAACTACGTCTAATTTAAATTAGATTATAAACATCAAAATATAAACAAACCTTTCAAATACAATTTCTGGTTGCTTAAAATATATTGAGTCTTGGGCTGGGGACTTAGCTCAGTGGTTCCAGCACCTGCCTTGCAAGTACAAGGACCCGAGTTCGATTCCCCAGTACCAAAAAATAAGTAAATAGATAAAAGTATCTTACAAGATTAAAAACACCACAAAATAGTTAAAGGAACTGAAGTTGATAAAAATGCAAATACTCGCCATCCATTCATGTGATACGAAGCAAAGTATCTATTTCACTCAGATGGTTAGAAATCGGACTTTCAAACATCAGCTCCAGAGCCATATCTGGGTACAATACCTGGGCTGACTCCTCAGTTAAGGCTGGTTTGAGGCTCAACTTCACTGCCACTTGCCATTTTTCCTGGGTCTCCTTGTCCTGGGCATAGATCAGGAACTTAGCATGCTCAGAAGAGAGTGCAAAGCTTCTCACGGCATATACCACGCCCTCCTCATCCACCTTGAAGTCTGCCGGTTCACTACTTTCATACTGGACTTTTCTTTTGCCATTGCAGTTGCTAAAGTTCACTGTAAAAAAGAACAAATATTTAAGTCTAATTATACCACAAAGGCAAAGATAACTAACATCTAAACCTCTGCTGGGTTTAGGTGAGATGATAAAACACAGCAGTATGAACACAGTTCTATTCTTATATTATGGATGGTGTTTTCACCCTTTAAGAATACGGCCAGACTTCTAGATCAGCAGATTCTGAACCTGAGGAGGATTCAACCAACCTCAATCAACTGCGGAATGAAAATATTCTAAAAGATTAGAAAAGCATTGCATCTATACTGATGTTCTTTCTGAAGCTGTACTGACTTGTCTTGTTTTCTTGTCTTTATTCCCTAATCAAGACAGCACAACAACTCACAGAGCATTTACATTGTATGTGGCGGGATAAGAAATCCACAGATGCACAAGTATGCAGGAGGATGTGTGTAGGTTATATGCAAATATTATACCATGTTCATTTCAGAGATTTGAGACTCTCTAGATTTGGGTATCTGCTGGAGTTCATGGATCAAATCTGCCTCAGATACCAAGGGAAGCCTGCACCACACTGCACTTGTAAGTTGTTCCCTGGCTTCTCCTTATTTCAAAGCCTTCCATCTACTTCACAGACCCTGGGGTACAGGACTCTCAGGTTCAGCTGCTGCTTTTCCCCCTAATACCTCTCACTGAGACTCCACAGTCCCCAAGTCTGTATTACCCTGCATTCCCAGGTCCAGTCACTAAAGGTAGAATTCCCTGGTTCTCAGTCTCCACGGAGCAAGCTGAGTTTTACTACCAATATCAAAGCCCTGCCTGACATTCCTTGGGACAAAGACTGCAGGCACATTTTCTTAGTTATCTTCTAGACCCTCATGTTTCCTGGCACATCGCTTTAATACGCAAACTTTAAACAAATGCTTAAAGGAAGGGACAATAATACTGTTTCATCTTTCCTAATGTTGAATACACACTATGGTTTACAATTATAAGATGGAACGGTAGTTAAAATACAAATATTTTGAATTTCCTATTCCTCCTGATGCTGAGTTCTATTAAGTGACAACAATTTTACAAATTTTGAAATGAATAAAAATATTTAAATGCCTTAAGAATAGAAAGATTCAAAAAGGTTTTAGTGTATTAATTATTTCAGTCTCATGTGCAGTGACTTAGAATTGAAAGAAAATATTCTTTGTGTGTGTGTGGTGTTGAAACTTGAAGCCAGAGCCAAGTACAGGCCAGGCAAGCATTTGACCGACCTACATTCCCAGCCCCAAATCAATGCTTCCTTAAATTCAGTATCCATAAGCTTGTGTTTCAACAGTTAGCGCGCATACTGATTTATGAATGTGCAAACTAGAAATATTCAAGGAAAAAATAACAATACAAATTAAAATATTCTGTAAGAAAGGTTATTCTCTTCATAGTCCTTTTAAGAAAACTGTCTGGGAATACCAAGAAAAGGGATTAAAGAAAGAGCAATTCATTTCCAAAAAAGTCCTGATATTTTATTCTGACCATAACTACATAGTTTATGCTTTGAAAAGCAATCAGTAGGTACACATTATAGATATAATCATACACCTTTTGCATTTCTCCATTATCTAAGTATTTACGGACCACACCAACAGCCCCCACACAAATAGAACACAGTTCTCCTACTTTCATTAATATAAATTTACTGAGCCATTCACAAGACCACAGCTGAATAACACACACGCTTATTTCCCTTAGTAACCATAAAATCCTTGAGAGAAGTAATAGACTACTTTAAGTATTGAATGTATTATTTTCCATGTAATCTACATATATCGTCCTTTATATTTTGCTCACTTCAAAATGCAAATAAAAGTTGTATCTTAAACTCAATTATGTTAAACTAAAATGTTTGTCTTTCGAGTAGAGGTTTCCCAAGATAACTAATTACCCCACTTCATGCCACATGATTTAAAATTTACAAATGAGGAAATTTTCTAGAGACCAATGCTATTTACTGTTTATCTTTTATTAAAGACAACAAAATGAAGAACCTTGCTGAGAAATCAAAATGATTTACCCTCTTTGAGCATAAAAGTATATACCCCTTTTTATATTACAAAAGAAAGGCATGGTAATGAAGGTGGATCTCCAAAAGTATTCATTCTTTTGCAGTTTCTTGTTAACGTTTACCCCTCCCACATTGATCCTCATTGGTCCACACCTGGATTGTTGTAACTGTCTCCTGGCGGCCTTCTCCCAGATCCAGGTCATGGTGCACCCACTGCTAGATGGGACCTCTTTTGTGATTTTCTCCTTCCTGCTCGAATTCCAGAATATGAAGCTTACACTCTTTCAGTTGATTTCTGATCATCGTGTCTCTTTGGTATCACTTATATCACTGGGTAAGATATCAACTGTCCCCTCAGATAGCCACAGCAGCTGTCCCCTACCTCTCTACTGATCACATCTACCCTCATCACCGTGTCTATCTGGAACCTTTCCCCACATCACAGTGCTAAAGCCAGGCCACCCTCTCCAGGGGGGAAACTACTGAACTTCAGAAGATGCCAGCCTCTCCCTCATTTAAGACTGCACTGAAACTTTTTTTTTTTTCATTTCTTACTCATCGAAACACATTAAGTTTATTTTATTGTAATAATCATTATAATGAACAATGCTTATTTATTAATGCTTTTATGTCAGTAAAACTGCTCTCTCAAAGCATAATGTGAGCTCATTTGATTATCTGACAGTGAGCCTTAGTTCTTTTCTTTCCTATATACCTACTAGTGAAACCAGTATAAATGCTTGCTAAATATCCATGAATATCTCACAACTTTTCAAAAACTAGAAAATAGACTGGAAACACAGAAGTAGGCAGACTGCTATAGTAATATTCAACAACAAAAGACAAAAAGGTACTTCAAATAATTTAACTGTATATTAAGTTGTTGGTAGTGGAAAAATTGAATTAATACTTATTGAATCCCAGGCACTGCACAAGATACTTCAGATTGGATAATATACTTGACATTTAACAATAATTTTCCGGAGTCGGAATCATTCTTTCTTTTGTACAACTGGAGAAAAAGAAATCCAGAGAGCCGTCAGGGCTGTCTCCCTTCTAGTCATTCACCTACCAAAGTGCAAAGGAATCAAACTAAACTCAAGACTCTGTAGGTATTGAAACCCAAAGCTTTAAAAATAATAAAACTAAGGAAGTGACAAAGAGCCCTGATAAATGCCTGTGAAGAAAATACTGCCAAATTCAGACCTCCGAGAGCATCACGCACGGTACAAAGCATGCTAAAAAGTTATTCTTGAATTGCAATGTACTCTGAAAGCCCCTTAGAGGGCAGTAGCTGGAGCCCCTAAAGGTGGGGTGAGGGTGTGAGCAAAAGAGAATTTCGTCTTGGTTACTCGGGCTGCCTGTTCTGTTAATCTGGCACTCAGCTACCTGTTTGGATTTATGAAAAGTGTTTTGGGGAGGAAAAGAAGGCATTTGATAAAAAAGAAAAGAAAATGTGCTTTATTTCTGCAAAGAGTCACTGGACAGACTATAAATGAGAAGAGAAACACTTTGAAGTAAATGTTAAACATCGGTTACTTCCCATCAATTAGTTGTGCCACCTTTGTCTCTAAACTATAACTAATATAAATCGGTTTATATATTGTTAATTTTCACCGAATTTTAAAAACAAATGCTAATTCTCATGTACTCTAATATTCAAAGAGCAAACTTAGGGGGCATGTTCAGATTTAAAGAATATATTCTATTATATAATTCCTTTTGTATGTTAAAGAAGTACCGCAAATCAATTCTGCAGATAAAAATTTGTCAACTGAAGTTCTCCCTAGATAAATAATAGTCCTGACTTCACCCTGGTATTTATTACAGATACAGTGCCTGGTTAACGGTGATAGCCAGGGTTTATTATTTTCAAGTCAAATAAATTAAAATGCTTACTATTTTCTTTCTTCCTTTCTTCCTTCCTTCCTTCCTTCTTTCTTTCGTTCAGTACCGGGGATCAAACTCGGGTCCTTGAGCTTGTGGGGCAGGCGGTGGTACCACTGAGCTACTAAATCCCGGGCCCAAAAATGCTTACTATTTTCAATGGGTATCATATGCATTCCATTTATTTTCTACTGAGCAGTACTGAGAGGTTCTGTTGTCCCAATCACCGACCTATGTCCTCAATGTAGGTAGGAATATTTATTTTCTCCAATTAACCAACATTCAATTCTACTTTGGGACCAAACTCTGAATTTGTAAGAGACGATTTTTCTCTTAAAGAAACTTAAAAGTTGATGTGGAAAAAGGGAAAATATGCTGCTACAGAATCTTGATTATTAGTCCTAATTTATAGCTTATAGCCGATCAAAAGTTTTCAAGTTAAAAATAAAAGTGAGAGTGGACAGCAACCTTTCAAAGGAAGAGACAGCCAAGGCATGTAGTTTAATTTCTAAAATTACATTTAAAATCTAATTTTGAAGATTAAGAAAATAAAGTAAACATAACGGAACTTTACTCTTGTAAAAAGAAATCCATAGGTTGATGCAGCCAACTTGTTTCTGTTATTAAAGCATTTTTCTTAGGGACAGTAGGTAAAAAACATAATGAACGAGATTTTCAACTTTTATTTGTTTGAAACATAAAACAATTTTATAATTTTTAATATAGGGCTATTGATGGGGGTTTTCAAGAAAGACTGATGGAAAATATATTTTAAAATATGATCTTAAAATGTTATTCTGTATGACACTATCATGGCAAGCATAACATCATGTTTCTGGCAAAACTTATCAAAATGTAGAACACAGAATAAACTTGTAAAGTTTGCATGTTAGTTAACAATAATGCATCATTATCTATTCATCAGTTGTAACAAAAGTACCATATTAATTAAGATGTTAGTAATTGAGGATTTGGACAGGAACTATATATATAAGAAACTCAGTAATACTGCTCAGTTTTTCTGTAAACATAAAAGTCTATTTTTAAAAAATGCTTCCTTACAGATGATGGTCAAACCTGCTATATTATTAGATACAC